GGAATAAAACATAACGTGGATAACTTTCCATCTTGTTCACTAGGGAACTTTTATTACCTACCTACCTTAGGTAGCCCAGTGGAATGCCTCCCGTCTTTTGCACTAAGGCGAGCCCCTAGAGATCCCCGTCATTACCTATACGTGCGTACGTACCTACCTACCTTAAGAAGACGATGATGGATGGATAAAGTGAATGTCTAGTACCTCAGTACCTCGCCTCTCTCATCTCTGTTTCCGAACCTCCGCCCGATACGATACACCCCTCAAGCTCTGAGGTATTATGTGTTTGGAGACTGCTCGGAACCTCCCACAGTCTTCCCGTCGGTGAAGGGTTAGACTTGATACAACTCAGCCGTCATCCAGACCATGCTTCATCATCTCTTCCCTGCCCAGGCTCCTGCTCTTTCTGCGACTGAGAGGAGGGTCCCTCCTAAACCCCTCGACTCCTGTCAGCCCCGTGTTGCCCCTCCGAACTTGGGTGCGCCGGGTCCGGTTTCCGTGACTGGAAGGAGACCGCCGTTGACAATCATTCTCCGCCTTCCTTCTGATATGCCCGTCACATCCCTCCCTAGCATTCCCGTCCCGTCTTAGTCAGATCGATGCATCTCCTAAGCGATCATTTTTAGTCCAAGGTAATCGTACGTACTTGGGTGGTTATGCACACTGAGCACTGTCCAGGTTGCACGGCATAAAGCCACCATTCGGCCACCACCCATGTAGGCAATCACCCTCTAGTAGGTGGTTTAGGTAGTACGGAAAGCCCGATTTTGATGTCACGCCGACGAAAAGGACCGCTGTTCTTTTCGTCTTGGTTTTTCCCCCCTTCTCTTCTTCTTTTCGTAAGCCTCCGGGTCAGAATTGCACATTGGCCTCTTGTACGTGTACTATGTATATCATTGTCATTATTCATGTCAGACTCTGCACACGTCCCGGTACGGAAAGGAGACTTGCCCCAGCAGCCGTGAAATATCCCGAGGTACTTGTGTTCCAAGTCCCGATGGGTCCTCCTCTAGCGTCGTCTCACTGCGGCGTTACGTAACCAGGTACCGCTTCTGCATGTTCCACCTGGAGGTCTGGCCGAGTCTCCTCCACGTACATACTTGCAGCTCCATCAAATTTCACATCCTGTGCCCTCCCCACCAATGCAACGAATCGCCAACTCGTACCACGCTTCTTCGCATGAACTGGCAATTACACCAAAGCCACACTTTCAGTGGACCACTGAGGCGCTACCTTGAACTGACCTTATTCTCAATCTCAGGTGTGGACGTTTCCATGTACACCATCTCCAGGCGTTCAACAGGCGGAATTTGGTTCGCTATCATCCTCATTGGCGACCACGACATCACTTTCGCACTTTCAGCACCATCATCTTCTTATGTCGCCCTACACCCAATGATGCCGCTTACCTGTATCTGCTCTGTTCTGTTCTGTTATGTCCCGCCTCTTTTGCACCTAAACTACCATCTCCCTCTTCCTTGCATGCCTATTACCTATGTAGTTTATAACCCTAAGCAGGCCCCTTTTCCCTTCGCCGCCATTTGATGCTTCCCTCCCCCCTGTTCCCTCTCATGAGCTCCCCAGGACAGGGTAGGCAAGCCCGGCAAGAGCCGTAACCATACCGGGCCGCTTGTTCGGAAGAGGGCTGTATTCGTACATCGACATACCTTTTCAGATGGCCAGGGGTCTCGCTTAGTCTGGTTCTCTCCGATGCATATCATCCTACCCTATATTGCTCGTCATAAATATGGTCGGAGCTGAGCACCAACCTCCGGTTCAGAGTCTTGGGTCTGGGCCGTATGTGAGCACTGCATAGCCTGCCGTCAAAGGCCTATCAGATTTTCCACCAAAGCGTGGCGGTGTTCAAATGAGAATCCCGCCTAGGAGATTATCCGTTAATCGATAATCCGGCAATCTCTTCTCTTTGGGCCTGTTCATCAGCGCACCCTCATCGCTCGAATGACCGTGGCGTTGCCAAAGTGGCTTTCTGAGTGGCTTGGCTCGTCAACCCACTGCTGCGAATTGCTGCTCATCAATCCCGCCCTGCAACATCATCCATGCTCGCATCCACGCGACCAGCACCTCCTTTTCAGCCTCTTTCACGTACACTCGTACACGGTCATGGAGTTCCCATGCTCATCATCTCCAATCGTCTGTGCATCTTCATGCGTCGGCCCCAGGATCTACCACACTATTGATTCCTTGGGAGAATCGGGCAAGAGCTCAATATTTCATCAACCTCATTTGCAATCTCTCTCTCCCCATTATCAACCAAAAGCTCATCATTGAAAGGCATCCATGGTTATGGTCGCTATGGCGGCATCGATAGAACAGCAGGCTGGCCTGCCTCGACACCTGGACCATGTCACGTCGCCTCGCCTCGTTAATCGGCCACGTAGCAATCCTATTTTCGACCTTCACCATCCCCCGCAGGTCTAAAGTTCCTGCAGGCTTCCCTAAAGGAGGCTTATTGCTGTCTGTCGGAGGCCTTGTCCGCGACCCGAACTGGGCTCTCTATATCGCGGCGTTGGCCTGTGGACACAAAACCAGCTCAACCGCATTTTGGCCAAGTCCAAGTATTCAATGATACTCTGGAAATCGATAACATCGAAAGTCGCCATGGAGCAGCGCGCCGTCCCATTGTGCGCCCCGGCTGGTTTGATGTTATTTTGCTCACTTTTTCGTACCCGAACACCAAAGCAACCGACAGAAGATCGGTCCAAAGATAGAGCTGTTTTCGCAACTAGGCCTGAGCAGTCCGGTGTGTACCCAGAAGATATTTTTCCTCTTCCACTTAGTCATATGCCGGGAGTGCCCTTGCCCCCCCTCCTCCCGTCCCACCATCACCAACACCTCCTTGGCCAACACATGCTCGCTGAAGTCAGCCGAGCAAGATATGAAGTTGGCACGTTGAGCAATACCCAAACTTCTTCATGTCCTCTTCCAGGGTTTGAGCTGCAACGTTTCCTTTATGAAAATCCTGGAAGTGTACTAGAATTGGACTTCGAGGGTGAGTAAACGAGCCTGTGGATCTTGGGATTGAACACAATCCCCAGTGTGTTGGTATACATCCTTTTCCCAAGCCCGGTAGATAGTTCTCCGTCTATGGAGTCTGCGTCTGATACCGCCCCCGCCCCTGCTTCGGGCCCTAAGACAGATCAACTCACTTCGGCTTGCGCAGGTCTTAATCAGTCCCCCCCCCGACTATCCGGTTAAGCAGCAGCGGCTCCCTGCCGTTACCCGTTGACCAGTCGTCCTCTCGGTCCATCTTGACCAAGAACGCCTCGCAGAGAAGAGATAACACGCCCTTGTCGCTCCGGCGGACGAGGAGCGACGCGTACCACCCCCCTCCCCCCTGGCCGTATCAATGAGGGTTGCATGGCTCGTGATCTGGACCGTTAGGGTCTGCTTTGCGCCGCCGTTATAGATCAGGGGGCTCATCGGCAACGACTCCCCCGGGCTGTGGGCTGATTCGTACCCTTCCACTGTCGCGCGGTGGCCGGTGATCGTGCCGCCTCCGACAAAGACGAGGTAGTGCCGCTTTTCGCTCCTGAAAATCTTAAGGCCCATGAGGTTGAGGTGTTCCTTGCCAGAGATGGTGTCTTCATACTTTGTTCGGGGGAGAGTTTTCCCCCAAAAAGACTCTTCCACAGTCACCAGTGTCGTCAACCAAGAACGAGTTTTGTTTGGAAAATAGGGAAACATGTGTAACATATAGGCACAGGATCTGTTCTGCCCTAATGTATGCACCAACTGCAAAATGCTACAACTGCTTCGACAGCCCTCTTAAATCTACCGAGCGAGAGCCTTGTCTACCTCAAAGTCTAAATTTGCGTACTTTGTACTCCTTCTGCTGTTGAACGGAAGTCTGACTAGCCCGATCAAGCCGTTGCAAAGTTCCTCTTCTATACCCTATAGGGTTTTCATTGGGGTGGTATAAGGCCCCGGCGACTTCGTCGGGATTCTGGTTTATGATAGCCGGTCACGCACCTGGGCCGTTAAGAGGGTTCTGGATGACTTGCTTGCTATCATCCTTGTAGATGGTGAGAAGGACTTGTTTGGCCGATGTTGTCTTCTTGTTGTAATCAAACGTCTGCACTCTGGCGGGGTTGGCAAGAAATTCGATGTCCTTCGTGTTCCTAGCCCTACAGCCAAATGCTTCTCAATCCGCTGACAAGGGAAGAAATACTCCGGAATGCAAGTTAGTTATGCTCTGAATTTCTACCAGCCAAAATATGATTCGCTTTCGCTGACACAAAATCATAGAACCAATGTCTGGTGTATACAGAAACTCATCGTTGGTTCTGTCATGGGAAATGATCAGAACGGCAGTTATTGTAGGTTGTGTAAGAATACTCTAACGCCATTAGGCTATTACTGTATTAAAGTGTAGCAAGCGACATGTTTGGCTTTAATGACCTGACTATTGAGGAATCGTGTAAGGAATAGGTAAATTCCTAGGTGTTCCTTGATCAATGCATTCAGTCTGGTCGGAACAACTGCTTCAACAATTAGGACAAGTGCCCTGGTGTTGATATTCGGAAAGGATTCAGGGAAATCCATAACGAAGGCTCGAGACGGGATTGTCTTCAACCTGTAGCAGTGTAGTGCCTACTTCTGGCGGGTAAGAAATTACATAGCGATATAACTAGTAGACACCTAGGTGGCATTAAGAACAGACAACAGGGGCAGGGAAATTAGTAATTATAGGCAGGAAGCTTCAAGACATTAAAGAAGGCCTAAATGTAGACTTAGACTTAGAGCAGGCTTTTAAAAAAGCTAAGCATATAATAGTTTCCTTAGAGCCTGACATCTAAACCTATTTATACAACCTAGAGCACTAACATAGAATTTATAAGTAGAGAAATATAGATAGATAAAAGGGCTAAAAGAAGGTAAACTAGCTATAGATATAAGAACTAAATAGTAAATTAAATAAACCTTATAAAATAGCTAAAGCTCCTAGAGAAATAGTATGGGATAACAAAAAGGTTTGACTATGACCGTGGCAGGGCTCGAACCTGCGGCCTTCTCGGGATCAAGTGCACATATTACTTGTGAACGAGAAATCATAATCCACTAGAACACACAGCCAGGGGCAGTTGATGGATGTAAGGCAATTTTGGCCTTAACACGCTGACTGCCTCATGAACGGATGGCGGGTTTCCGCAGACGCCATCATTCTTACCCGTTACAAGTCATCAATCCTAAAGCTCAAGGTACAGCACGTCAGCCTAATTTTGGGACCTAAACGTAGGTTCATGTATTTTATTAAATATTCTTTAGAAATGTACATATAACTGTAATTCGGAATGGTTGCTGTGTCTGGCTCAATCAGCCAGCTTGAAGTTAAGCCAACTCAGCTTTCCACGATATACATCCAAGCCTCCCGTCTTTAACGAAAGAGCTTGCTAGATAGTAAGAGGGCGTGCGACACTTTGATTTTGCGAGGCGGTACGAAAGTGGATAAAGGCATTGTCCATGATAAACAATTCCACGAATCACTCTGGCTAATGTTGTTTTGGATCAGGCTAGCCCAGTTGACCCCTGATCAATAGTCACATGCAAGTCAGCCGTGGCTGAGATAGAGATGTGCTTATATACCCTACCCACAGCCTGCGTACCTCCCTCGTTGCTAACTGTGCTGAGCCAGACTAAGTCAATTTATCATCATAAAAACAAACCAGCCGCGGCAGCATTGCCAATCAACTTTCTAAGCAGAGGCAATGAATTACGACAACTTCAAAATACCTGGACGAATGATCCGACTCATTACCATACATCCTTTGGCACCATACCAACAAGAATCTGCACCCATACACTGTACGATTAAGACTGCAACACTCCCAGCGGAACCAAAGGACTATGATCCGAGCCTTCTTCCAGCTAACTACGTGGATTTTGACGACGAGGTTACAAATAAGCCCATAGAGCCTTTCGGTGGCTCATTCCGACAAGATATCTCTACAATCGAGGGAACGACCGAGGAATCGATGCCCCAAGGTGTTGACGGGGAAATGCCGAAGCACGAAATCATCCTTCCTCTCAATGAGTTATCCAACATGATATCAGCCGAAGACTTACAAATCGCGGTTCAGAACTCGGAGTTAAATGACAGAATTAAGCTAAACAGATTGCTTGATGATTCGGTCACCTGGGAGGGCAAGCTAGACACCAAACATCTTAACCCTTTCTTCCGTCCACCAAACCCGAAGCAACCGATTGACCGCGAATCATATGTGGCCATGTCCTATTCTTGGGGCCCGGAAAAACCCACAGCCCCTATTCACCTCAACGGCATCGAGGTTGATGTCAGGGAGAACCTAGCAGCAGGCCTCCGCCGTTTCAGAACAATGGATTACTTCAAGCGAGGTGGGAAGATTTGGATAGACGCATTATGCATCAATCAATCCGATGAAGCCGAAAAGGCCACCCAGATTCCTATGATGGGTTCGATCTATAAGCTTGCGGCTAACGTGATTGTATGGCTCGGTCCCGAGACCGAAGGCAGTGCTGGAGTTATCGACACGCTCCAGATGCTAAGCTCCCTGTACCGTACCGAGTACATAGAAACATTCGATCGAAGTGATCCATTCACAGCGACAGCTTGGAGAAACATGGCACAAATTCATTTGCGAACCAGCTTTCTTAAGCTCAAAACGGTGTACTCCCAACTTGACTTGGAAACACGCGAAGATGACTTTCGATTGTACGAATTCTTCGACCGGCCTTACTGGCGTCGGCTCTGGATCATACAGGAGCTCTGCATGGGCCGAGCGGGGATGCCGGTTGTATGCGGCTCCCGCGTCACGCAATGGCGGTACATCCGTGATGGAGCACTTGCTTACACTGCATTTCTACATGTGCTCCAGGAGAAGCTGCCTGAAACAATTTACCAATTCACCCATGGGCCAGTCAAGAATGGTTTATCAATACTCCATGTCGCTCAAATAGCGCAGTTAGAGATACACGGCCACCGAAAACGCCTTCCTCCGGTAGACACCAGCTGGCTGCCTATCTTCTCCAACTTTGGAGAGGACGATGGCATTCTTCATGGATCCGTCTTTCAAAGAGCCCTCCATCTGGCGTCGGAAGCTGAATGCTACCATCTCCATGACTCCGTTTATGGCTTGCTCAGCATTCCTGGACTTCCAGATCTTGGGCTCACAGTGGACTATACCAAACATATTGCCACCGTTCTGACCGAGTTTGCAGTGGCTTGTGTCACGAAGGGCAAGAGTCTCGAGCTGTTCTCACTTATAGATGGATGTCGAATGCCTGTATTAGATGCTCAGGGAAGCCTGTTGGATCGAAGACGATTACCATCTTGGGTTCCATATCTAGCCAGGATGCCTGAGCAACGAATTGGAACGATTAAAGGAAACTGGCATGCCAGCGGCAACAAGCAGGCATTGACTTTTGATGGTTTCAATGTGGAGCCAAAGATAAGGAATGGAAATGTCCTAGCATGCTACGGTTTCATCGCAGAGATGGTCGATGGTGTTGGAGCCTTATCCAAGCCAGACATGGAAATAGGAAGTCGTTATGACCCAGTGTTTCGGGCGGGGGTAGTCCAGCCGACGGGGAAGTACACATCCAGCTCAGAGTTTGGCCCAGAAGCTTTAGGTGACTTTGTGGACATGACATCGCCTCGAAGCCGAGTGGCGAAGAGATTGATGGAAGGGCCTCGGGTATCTTGGGTATTGACTTGTGGCGCCGATGTTCAGGGAATAAAGCAATCTTTTGATTGCCTTTACGATGCTTTTCCAGGTATGATTACACTCTTAAATAGCTTGATGACTATGAAGTTCTGGAAGCATATCAGCTGACTTGACCGAAATGATCCCAGAGGACGAGCCATCTACCCAATCGCCTTTTTACAGGAACTGGCATTTTATAAACTCGAGTGCTGATCTCTTGATTGGAGATAGGCCTCTGTCTTCGTATTTTGAACTTTGCCCCCGAGAAGATTGGGACCCTAAGAAGAATATGAACACACGCGCGGCACGGCAAGCCATGGAAACATGCACGAGAAACCGTCGTCTTATTGTTACGAACTCAGGGCTCCTTGGGCTGGCGCCTACTCTTGCTCAACCAGGAGATGCTGTCATGGTGTTGATTGGGCATGGGAGACCTGTCGTCGCAAGAAGACTCAAGGATGAGTTGGGGCAAGATACGCCTTTGTGGCTTTTGGTCGGCGAGGCGTTTGTCAACGGCATGATGGAGTGGGAAACAATGGATCGTGACGTTATGTCTGGCCCGAAGAGAATCAAACAGATAAACTTTGTTTGAGATATTTTGTAACATTGATTCCAGGAATAAGAACTAGCTCGGTCTATTACCCGCTTCCATCATATTCTGGTCGGAATCTCGTCGTCGCGTGCAGTTGTTCTTCTGAAGTTGTTCAAAGTGTGCAACTCAACACTCGCATTACGCATTCGTAGTTGGTAGGAAAACGAACGGAGAAAAGGGACTGTTCTATGAGAACGTGATCGAATAGCCCGGAGTCACAGGCTTGATAACCGAGAAGTGTTGTGCAAGACCTGTGTTCTAATAATGATACTAGCACCTAAGTGGCAGCCACAGTCTTGTTGTTTTGCATGAGGACGCCTCCGATGGCACTTTTCCATTTCCAAGTCTGAATAGCATGATTTTCTGATGACAATGTCATAACAGCCATCGTCGCTGGTTCCTCACCCTGGTTGGTGGTGGCGAAGCCCTGCTCCAGCTTGTAGCGCCATGCAGGTTTCTCAACTTACCATCCAGGCCGGATGGATGGTCGCCTAAGTCATCAGACATCTCATAAAGAAGCTACCTGTGTCGCTATTGGAGATCAACGCATGTGAACACGTCGCATGCGCCGTGCTTCTTTATATACTTTGGTGGAGCAAGCCCTTCGATGTGATGGATCCAACCGTACTGGAGGGTGACATTGAGTGCCTCCTATCGTTGATGACGGTCTGCTCATTCATAGACGCTATAAATGGGGTAACAGATATTCGATGCTTCAAGTATATGCCAGGAGAAGAAGAGAATACATACAGGCGATGAGAGCCAAGACCAGCGCGCTGCCAGGATTCTCATCACAACGAATTTGTCCATCGGGTCACCAGGCACCAGAGAGCATTCCAACTTTCTTGGCTTTGATATAAGCAATATTCGACCGCAGTTGTCACCAGTAAATGTGGAAACCCACACACAAAAGGTGCCACGGAGTGCGTACATGTATCATATTGACCGGTCCAAACCTACAGTTTCACCCGAGTGTTTACAGGCGTACTTCGTGCCGCCATACGCCAATATTGGTTTGCGTCTTGGTACTCTCTACTGCCGAAGAATATTTGGCGACGTCCAGCAGTATTAGAAGTCTCACAAACACAAACCCATGAACGCAATCCGCCTGGCTCAGGTAGCAACGGCTGCAGAAGGCCTCTGGGCCCTGTGTGCCGCCCGTCCGACATATGCACCGTACTACTTTACCTTCGTTCCGGCTGTTGGCACCTTCCTCAGAGAGACGGAGTACATCGTGTCTCATATTGCCAATTTCCCGTCCATCTCCAAACTCGGTCTTGGCCAGGTCAACATTCACCGCGACGTCCTGCGCTCGGTCCTTGCTCTCACCGCGGCAGCGTACGGCGGGCTTCATCTCATTGGCTGGTTCGAGCACTTCCTAACACAGGTCGAACAGAGGATGTGGCTCGTCTCGTCTCTGGCCATTGCGTGCTCCAGGATTGCGCTGTGGATCTTTTCCCTCGCGCGGCAAGCCTATCCGTGGTTCGATGTATTCGTTTCTGGAGCGGCACCCGGGCACGACTGACCAGCGCGCGTTACCAGAAGCCGTGGATGAAGAAGACAAAATTGTTCGTTCTTGGTTTTATTCTTGTTGTGTTTGCGTTGGCGAGAGTTTTCTTGGTTGTCAAGGCTTTCCTTACCTGAGAGAAGCTCATTCCGAATTGTATGAAACCCCTCAGTGGTCAGACTTCGTTCCCCATTTCTAGCGGATGGCAATTCTCAAAACAGATACGGGCAACTGATACGGACTCTGAACGTATCTGCTTGTATCCGTGGACAACAACAGCCTGGGACCTACCAGC